GGAGTTACATTACCCCTGTATTTGACTCCGGTATGATTGCTATCAGAATATTATGCCATAAGCATTAGAATGACATGTACCTGTTCCATCATCCATCTTCAGTGGTGGATGTTTGTCTGATGGGCTCACATTCTTAATCTGACATTTAAAAGTGACTCATGTCCCAGATAAGGCTGGACATCCTCTATCTAAGTCCTCATCTCCAGATCACGCCCAAGACTCTGGCCAAATCTTAAGAATCTTGCTGAGTAACAGCTCAGATTATGGCCTTTCCTATTCATCTTCACAGATAAAACCTGCATCCAAGCTCCCGTGACCTTGAATCTCTGAAACATCCTTTTCTAAAAATGCAGTTTCTCCCTGTTCATGCACAACTAGAATACAGCTGCAGAAATCGCTCTCTAGCTCGTAACATAGGCCAGATCATTCCTGCCTCTTAATCTCTCCTCTGGTTTCATTTCTGCATCCTATCAAACAGAAGCTTCTTGTCTTTACTTGCATGGCCTGTAATGGCCTATTCCCACCCTTTTTTTTCTCTAGTATTCCCCAGTGACACATTAACTCATCCTTTCTATCTGCAGGTGTCTGTGTTCAAGCACGTACGTTCCCTTTTGTGCTGTCTTTGTCTTTTCCTCAGAAGCATCCCATTAAACTTCCCTCAAACTCCCTCTGGATCCTCTTTCAAATTCTTCCTTAACCTCTTCCTTTGCTTGGCGCTCTACAGGCTTCTTGTCAACAGTAAAACGTTTAGAGTGCTGGGACCACAATTTTCCTTGCTGATCAGTTTTGTCTGGTTGCTCCTTTGTATTTCCTATCTATACCCAGTTGTTACTGCTTGTGTTAGATTGTAAACTCCTGCAGTTGGTCCCTTCTTTGAAATCTGTGTTTGTTCAATACTCAGCACAACAGGGTGGTTCCATGGTCTGAGCAGCCAGGATCTGTGGTGGTATAAGCAAAACCCATGTAATAATAGTAATAAAATAATGAGAAGTTAGAATGTGGCAGCATGTGTAATACAAGCTCCTCTCCTCCCTTCCCTCTCTTCTGTCAGATTCACAATATTTCAAATTTCTTACACAATAAAAGACAGTAAATGGGGTTTCGGATTAAGATATAGTAGGTGATGTTTCCTTTCAGCTGTTGAATTCTTTCCTTGCGATCCAGTTAGTAATGATGGTATTTCCAGCAGTTTCAGCAGGGAAGCCTCTGTGGGCACCTCTCTATGTGCCCCCAAGGTAAGACCAACATGTGGCAGCCAGGCTAGGCTGAAGGAAGGTCATGGACAAGGTTATGAACCTCTTTCATACAAAAACAGAGGACTCCAGTCTCCCAGGCTTGCTGCCAACGTATCACCTTCTAGTTTTGCTGAAATGATCTTGAAAAAAGACCTAAAAGAGACTGAAGGGGCAAAAGAAGAATGTTGAAATGACATAGTTTCATCTTCGTGCAGTTTAGTACTAATTTTGTCCTTTGTCTTTAAGCTGCCTTTTAAGTGCTGTTTGTCTCTGTGGGAAGCAAATGGGTCACGTTGTTCTATGTTTCTACTGTAATACGCTGCCTGCTATTTTTCTCTTAGATTATTTGTGTAATCTTTTTTTGTGCAATCTGTTTGTTCTTGAGTCTTGCAAGCTTTGCCTTTGCTACTTCTTTCCCAATAAGCAGTGCAACTTGTTCTGTATTCACTCATGGGCATTCTGCACACAACGGACTGGGTTATTTCAACCAGTGTGAAAATATTAAAATGGAGAACATGTGTGGGCACTTAATTGTGGTGAGTCCGACCACAAATACCTTCGCCCTTGGTAACTGGCACACAGGAAAAGCAGACCTTTGTTTTGTTTTTATCAGACATAATGATAGATACATTGTTTTTAGTGGGGTTTTTCTGGTTTTCTAAGGAAATGAGGCTTGTGCAATCACACCGCCTGTGTGCATGTGCTTCTCTCTGTCAGTTCCTCCCTCACCAATAATGCTTGAAACTAATAGCCATTTTTAACCAAATTTGAGCGAGGTGCAGGAGCTAGGGGAGGTGACCTGTTTTTACACAGGTCTTGTGAGTTCCCAGATTGCACCAAAGTCTGGAGAAGGTGCAGCCTCTGACAGCCACATCACTGCAAGCCACATCAGCCATGTATTTGCCCACATGCCTTTATATGGATCCAGCCACCTTAACTAAGGTCCCAAATTTGAATATTTTGGCTTATTTGCTTTTACCCTTTGGGCGAGTGAGTCAGTTGGGGGTGGTGCTAGGCACAGAGTTTGTATTTTGATTCTTACTGGAGAGGCCATGTCTCATAAAAAACATGGTTTGCTCCAGGCCACGGTGTTACAATTTGCATATAAACTTATGAAAAAGGAAGCTTTCTTTAAGTTTTTGTGCAAGAGTTTACAGGAGCGTTTCTGTCTGTACATAATAGCAGAAGCTGGACTTCTCATAAATGTAGATGGGTTAAGTCTGTCACTGCCTGACTGGGAATCTTCTGTGGAAAAACCCAGAAAGAGGAAGGAAAGCCTAAGGAAATACCAACTTCAGGGGGAGAAGTTGGCCAAGACTTAATGTTGTGCTGCTCTTTGGTTTGTACCTGGCCACCAGCAGTGTAGTTGGGGAATGCCTCAGAGCTGTGCAGGAATGTAGCCTCAGGGTACCTTTGGGAGGCAGAGAAGATGTCTTTATGCCCTTTGCTCAAAGAGAGAACAGAGGTAGACAGGCACCAAGTGATTTGCCAGAGATTACAAGGGTATATATTTGAGTTAGGAAACAAACCCAGGTGTCCTGACAGAAGAAGTACAACCAGAAGTATGGTCTACATGTAGACAGCTTCTCCAGCAAATGGAGAGATGGCTTGGTCGAAGAGGAAAATAAATGTTGAAGTATACAAAAGCTGGCTGAATTATGAATGTGAGAAGAGGAGGAGGGGAAGAAAAGATTCCCACATGTTCTACTCAGATGTTAACAAAGAAAGCTGAGAAGTGTTTGCATAGACACTACATTATTCCATGTCCAAATGCCTCATAAAAATAATACCGGATGATCACAGAATGGCACACCAGGGAAAATAAATTCTTCAGTGGAATATTCCCTCTGGAAAAACACTGTGTAAAGTAATACACTAATGGCTTTCAATTTCATGTTTTATATATAGAGATATTAACTGCTCCCCAGACGTCTCTTTATATTACAGCCCAGCTACACGAGCAGTTTGGAGAAGGCCCTGGAGCACGCTCGGTCTTGTCCACACACAGGACCAAGCAGCGCTCTCCTGTTGTACATGCAACTCCTGGGGTGTATACAGTAGGTTTCGTCTGCTTCCTTCCCAGAGCAGTACCGCTCCCATGGTTCTCTCCAGTGGGATGGGATTTTTTTTTTCGTCTTCCTAGCCCTCATGTTTTTTTCCATTCTTCCCCGTGCTCTGTAGCCTCACCACCATGCTGGGAACCCTGCATTCCTTCTCTGCTCGTAAAAAAGGAGTCCTCACAAGAAGTGTTATGGTGGAATGATTAAAGCACAACACTGTCAGTCAAAAATCTAATAACAAATGCTAAAGAAAGTTAAGTATAAAAACAACATTATTAATTCCTTTTGGAGGGGGTTTCCAGGCTTGTCTAGAATTATCTGGTGATTTCTCTCTCCACATTGCTCAGACTAGGAGCTGTTTGAGTCAGGAACTGTCTGTCCTGTATAATGCCAACTGCAGTTACACTGTTGTAGCAAATCAGAGTGATCTGGGTTCTTTTCCAAGCTTTCCTAATATATCTCAAATGTGTATATATATCATCCTGCCGCATCCTGAAGGATCCAAAAGTAGCTTACACACTTTGTTCCTTGGATGTAGCCTGGGACAGGCAAGGAAGAAGTCATGAGTGTAGGGACATTGATGTTACTCTGCGCAAGGACAGCAGCCCTGCCATTGGGATAATGAGGCATGTCCAAGTCCTTTTAGGAAGTTTTGCAGTATTTTTTTGAAAAGGCCAATAAAGATGCACCATGGTATGAGAGAACATTATATAGTTGCTGGATTATTTAATTATTATGAGGGACATATTATTTCTAGTAATAGTATTTTTAGTAATAGTATAATTGTAGTAATTCTATTTTTGAACTCAGTCAGCTTTCCTGCTTGCACCTCAGCTCTTGCTTCCTTTGCCCTCCTTCCCACCCTCAGTGATCACACCACTCCACCCGTAGAGCTTTGAAGAAGTGCAGGGTCTCAACACTGAGGACACCACAGTTATTCTCAAACTGAAGAACACTGTTTTGAGAGGGACAAAGCCCCAGACCACAGTTGCTCTGTTGCCTTTGGTGGGGCTCTCCTGCATAGGGTGGCTGAGGTTGTTCTAAATATCTTCCATAATTTTGTGCATGAATTATTTAAAATATCAACTTTTTATTTTAAATATCAACTAGCCTACCATCAGCACGTTAGCAAGAGCAGGAGGATTAATGCTGCTATACTGGCAAAAGCATAAAAAGTGAAATGCTTTTGCCAGTATAATTGGCTTCATTGAGGGAATTGGTTTAAGCTGTACAAGCAAAAAATACTCTTTAAATGGTAACAATTGCCCTGCCACCAGGCATCTTTACGAGGCATCCTACCACAAAACCCTTTCATGTGGAGGCAAGACTTTAGGCACAGGTTTATCCCATGTAACTAAGAAGCTGAGGATGACTGTATAGCTGTGTTAGATGATGGCTGAATGGTTTGCATCTGGGGCTCAGATTCCTTACAATGATTGCTAGCTAGCAGCAGCAACAGTAGAACTGATATCAGTGCAGTCTCAGGAGCCAGTTTCAAACCTCTGTAGATCTTTTCATATGGGCCAGCACCAGAGTTCCTTCCAGTGGCACTGGATCTTTGCTAGCAGTGCCACAAATTGCTCTTCTGTTGACTGAGCTGCCATGTCCCCCTTACCCACTATGCAACATAGGGTTGTGGGAGGACCTTCTCTGCAGCTGAGACCAGGAGCTTGCTTTAACTCATGTCCTTTCCCTCTGGTGACAGGCCGCTGTGCCCGCTGTGGGGAGAATGTTGTTGGGGAAGGCACTGGCTGCACGGCCATGGACCAGGTGTTTCACGTGGAGTGCTTCACCTGCATGATGTGCAACAACAAGCTGAGGGGACAGCCTTTCTACGCGGTGGAGAAGAAAGCCTACTGTGAACCCTGCTATATTGTAAGTACCCACTCTTGTTTGCACCCTGATCTTTAATTCACAGACATTGGAAACATTGATTTCTTTTACTGCTCTACAGTTGCCTTGCAGTTAACACCTGACAATCCTATGGCAGTACTGTGGGCACCACTTTTTCCATGGTCTTCAGAACTCTGATCATTTCTGCTTCCTGGGTGGATTTCATTCCTAATCTATCTCTGAAATTAAGTGGCCAAAGCAGGGGAAAGAAGTGCTTTTTGTGATTATGTCAGCTCTATAGGGAGTAGACTATGCAGTGATTTTTAAGCAGCAGTGTTGTTCTCAGAAGCTTTCTGTATTGGGAAACCTGATACCAAAATGCTTACAGACTGTAGTGCCTGCTGATATTAAGGAGGTGGGATGCAAGGTAGCCCTAAAACTTCTAAAATCAAGACCTTTGCATTGCTTGATGGAAGTCCTTCTAGTCAACTAAGAGTCTTTGGATTGGATACCTTTTGAAGCTTACCGTACCCTAAAATTTAATTTCATGCCTCCAACAAGCTCTTAAAGCAAACAATTAGGAGTTGCTCTGAGGAGCTGCACCTTTTAAAACGCTGCCATAAAAGCTAGTTGGAACCAGTTACACAGTTGTGAATTCAAAGAAACATCACATAATGTGCCTGAGGCCTTACCTTCGTGTGACTTTAGCATACAGTATATAGGGATCATCGTTGTAATTTAGAATAAGAAAAGCACCAAAACATTCTTAAAGCATTGATAGGTCTTTCTCTAAACCTGCAATTCAAAGTTCTTTTTATAAACACTGAACCTGAGATCCTTCCAGAAGTGGATTTGCACTTCTGAAAGTAGAAATTGATGCTTTTCTTGACATTTCTGGCGTTCTAAAGATAATTAAAGAATTAATATGTATTTCTGAAAAGGCCACCAATATTCCGTTATTCCTTCTGTTTCTGCAGAGCCTTTGCAGTAGCATTATTGCTGAATATAAAAAGGGAAGGTTCAGTCTTATTTACAATGGCAGTGATATATGGGCCTTGTTAATTGGCTTTTAAAAACTAAATGATCTTTTGATGGAATATGCACCTTTTAAACCATTTCCATTTTTGTTTGCACTAAAATGATTGCACCATAAAAAATTTAAGGTTTATTTCATGGCAAGTTTGACTATGTACAAAGCACTGGAGACTTTAGGAAGGTGCATTCATAATATGTATGACTGGAAAAAACTTTATGTAACTGGAATGAAACATTTCATTGACTTCAGGCAGGAATTGACTTCATCTTCTTGGAGATTGATGCTTGCTTTTCCTCTTTTTTAAATCAAGCATGCATTCTACTCCACTCATCTTTAGTTTGGGAAAACATCTGCATTAGCCACTGTAGTAATGGTTTAAGATTATTTAATCCCATTACTTATACACTTCATTAGCCTGAGTGAATTGTTGGCAAGGGTTCAGTAAACTTCCTACATTGGGAGATAAAAGGATAAAAAAGGAAAGAGAGAAGGATTCTGTTCCTCATTTTCTTTCAAATTTATCTTCTATCTATTTAAGGGATAAAGGAACGATAATTGCCTGGTTGCATCTGCGTTTGTACGTTCTGTGATACGGCTTTGCAGCTCTAAGTACAGAGGAAAGAGTAAACGTTTAATAGCTTTCTTTTATATAACCAGAAGGGGCCTTTAAATGTTTATCCATGCAGTCCGCAAAAACCTGGTTATGGACTTAACCCAAACCGTATCTGGATCCATCTGTTGTGGCACATGCAGGGGAAAGGATAGCGATGCTGATGGGGCTACGTATGTGTAGCTGGACAGCTGGTACCATGAGTGGGAAATGGAAAAGGGGAATCTGGCAGTCCGATGCAGCGAAGGGGAAAAAAAAACCCAAGCACACAGAATCTTCAGTGTGGAGGAAAGAACTGTTGGAAGCCTAAGTCTCCAGTACCCTTCAGAAAGCTAAGAACTCTGCTGTGCTGAAATCCAGATCTACAAGGGATCTAGGCACCTGCCATGCCTGTGGCTTTAGGCCTGAGAAATTTGTGTCGGAGACCGTATGTCTCATTGATTTTTCCATGAAATGAGGGCTGCATTGGCTTCAGTAGGGTGGTGAGTGCCTAAGTACACTGAGGGTCTGAGCTAGGCTTGCAAGTTATTCTTGCAGATGGGTTGGGGGCCTTTAAATTGCTGAGGCTTTTGCCTTTAGATGTGTGATGCAATCATACTGAGGTCAACGAGAGTTAATGACCTGCTTAAAATCTAGCCTGTACTTAAGGATTTTGCTGAACTGTGGCCTCTGATTTTTTTGGAGCTTCCCCAAGTCCTATTTATAAGAAAATATCTTGGACACTTGGAGCCCTAGTTCTGTAGGAAATCAATGGGACTGATGAACCCAGACTCCGATTCCTGTGGACCTGAATTCCCATGAAAGGCGGAGCCTGTGTGACTAGCCCAAGATTGCACAGCTAATCCATGGCTGTGGCCAGCTGAGAAAACAGGATTCTCAGCTGGTATAAATCGGAGTGATTCAATGAAGCTTGTTTACTGCTCTACCTAATTCACAGTTTTTGTAGCACACATCCCCATCTCCCAAGTCCAAAACTCTTGACCTATTATGCAAGCCATTAGGCCAAAGTGCTTCATTTATATTTAGAAAATGAACTGTAATATTTGCTTGGTCATGTTATATATAAATTCATTAATTCTTTGATTTTTTTTTTTTCAATAATTCCCTTGTGTGACTTGTGGCCTTACACACACAAAAACTATGCACAAAAATAAAAATACACGTTTTTCAACAGTTAGAATTGGCTAATCTTTTCAGTTTATTATGTGACTCTTCTTAGTTGTGGTGGAGTGAAGCCATAATTAAGATTACTGCAAAGAGCTGTATTTAATTACTGGTTAGTCAATACCAAGCCTAAATAGCCTGCAGAAGGGGGTTTTGTTGGTTTTGGTTTTGTTTCTGGTTTTATTTATCAGTGACCCAGTTAAGATGAAATTCCCCAAAAGTCTGAATTAACATCTGAGGAGATCAATTACCTGGTTAGAAAAATGTGTTTTTCCTAATGGGAATCTGAGTACCAGAGTTAATTTCTTTCACACAAAAATCCCCCCACCCAAAAGACAGTCACTATTATTTCCTGTTACTTCTTCTGAATGCAGTGAGTTCTGTTGTCAATGTGTTTGCTGGTTTTGCTCTGCATCCAAGGATTCTTTCATTATTGATGTTATTTCTAAAAGAGTACCAGTCTTCTCCATTAAGATGCTTCTGCTGAACGAAAAGCAACTGTAAAAAATAAAGTGTTAATAGGAGACAGATGTCTGCTAGTCATTATGACAGTCAAGTAACATCTGAAATATCATGATAGGGTTTCCAGTATAACCAGCATACTGCTGTACACGTGATGAATGCTGTTCTGCAGTATGTTATCAGTATACTTTTCCCTTCCCTTACAGGGAAAATTACTGACAGAACATTTGGTTTGCTTCCTTTAAGTAGTTGAAGGGATTCTAGTGCTGGACTCAGTGCAGAGAAAAGGTTAAGAGTAATATCAGTGGAACCGTTGTTATAAAAGATTGAAGAGCAAGATGTTAGAGCAGTGCCAGCTGTCTGCTTTCCAAATACCGTATTATCCTAAGGACTGAACACAAGGTTAACCAGACACGCTGGTCTGGCAAGAGCGATGCTGCTGTTTTGTGAATGGGATGTTCTTTGATGTCCTGATGACTTTCTCTGGGACGTGGAAATTTTCCTCCGTTCTTTATCCCCTTTCCTGGCAGTTCGGTGGTTGGCAGTTGGAGATAAGCTCTCTGAGGCTGAGAGGTGCTGGGCACCTGCAGTTAGCACAGAAAGCAGCAAGATCTTGCGGATGCTCCTGACGTCTGAGGGTTTCTTCTGTCATGTCCAACTCAGTGTGACCCACTGCTGGCCCCCGAGGGAAGGACCATGGTGCAGTGGGGCAAGGAATGAGAAAGCAGAAATAATGAACCAAGCAAAGCAGAAATAGCCAGGGTCAGATGATGGAGAGTTCAGAGAACTGGTGGTCTAGAAATAATGAGCAATTGACAGAGAGGGAAGAAACTGTCTCATGTCTGCCTGTCTAGCTACCGTGAGGGAAGATGGGGGGTATGCTCTGTGGTGCCCTGTGGAGACCCAGGGATCAAGGTTTCCTGTTTCTGCTGCGCACTGCAAGGTATTGAGGACATGACCTTAAACCCTCCCCCAAAGATCATTTACAAGGATTTTGCAGGGTCAGGTTCATCCTTGTAGAGTACTAAACCTGTGGAAGTGCTTGAAAGGGGAAGAATTGGAGGTGGAAGTCCTGCCCTGATCACTGCTGTTCTGCAGCTTTAAAGTCAGGATCATAGTGCTCCGCTTTCTTCCCTGATTATTTGTTTTGTGAGAAGAAAACCTGCATCTTCAAGGTTTCTCTCCTACTAGCGTCTAACTTCCTGGCCTGTCAGATGCAGTAGTTCAATAGAAGAAGATAGTTCAGACCAGGAGGCAAGAGAAATGCGGATGTTTTAGTAAATGGTACGACTAGAGCCACTGGTGCCATGGAGCATTCTGGGAAAGCTTAAATTTGCTAATCGTTCTGAAATGTCAGTGTTAACTCAATTTGTGCTCATTGAGATATCTGGTAAAACTGCTGTCTGCTTCAGTGCGGCTGATATTGTAAATCTCACCCCGTGTATGCACATGAGTGTGGTTGTTTGAAAGCCATGCAAGAGCAGCTACCTCCAGCACATACGGTTTAAAGTGTAAGGTTGATCCCTGCAGTGAAATTACATCTATTTTTAAAAATAATTCTGCAATTTGTAAGCAGAGATTACAGCACTAATTTAGCAACCATGTAACAATTTAAATTGGACCAGAAAAGAGAAACTATAATTTAAAGATTTTTTTTTTATGATACAAGTTTTCTTCTTTTTAAAGTAAAAAGCCCTTTATTCTTGTTTTTGTCAAGCAACGTATTGAATTTGAGAGTAATTTATGGAAAGTGCTGCCAGCATGGTATTG